CATCTTGGAGGACTTTACCAAGTTGACAACTCGTTTAATTAACAAACAGCAACAACAGATTAGAAAATGATAAAACAGCTCTAATTAGGTAAATAGAAGCACACCTGAACCCGTGCGCGCAGTGGAGCTATAATGGACGCGCACTGAAGCAGCACGTCAAACACGCGCCACCTCACCGTATATCGATCTTCAGTTAGCATAACCGCGCAGGAAGACCGCCCTAAAAGTTCTAGATGGGAGATAGCAATGTCAATGTTGCTCCCTCAGCTGGTATCCATTAGGACGACACAGTGCGCCGTCCGGACGCTCTATGCAGGTGGTGGCTTGTCTCTTTTTATTGGTCGTGCCCCCTTTAACGTGTCTTTTGGCATTTTGGTGTTGGGGACACAGTTTGCTTGGGCATAGTCATCACAGAGTATACATCCCTGACAATTGCCTTTATGTCTGGGTTCACGCTGACGACTCTTGCCAGCTGAATTGCCTCGAGATGCGTTCTGAGTCGCGAAGTCCAACACTACAACTCCAACGCGACGTTCCTCATCTCGGATTGTTATGCCACTGAATACTGGCGGGAATGAACAAGTTTTGTGTTCACAGCTAGCTGGCATTCCAAAGATCTGACCAAAATTGCCTTGATTTGGGGGTTTTGCAATTGGTAGTCTCTTGAAGGGGTAACTTTCAAAAGTCAATGGTTCATCGATGATCCCCGCTTTGAGATGCGACGAATACCCAAGTAGCAAACTAGTTAGGAGAGGATTGTAATGGATGCAGTCCGATCCAGTGGACTTACTGGACTTGATCATTCGATTGGTCTTTCATTCGGCGAGTATGGCCTGCGACTTGGAGTGCAGTGACAAACATCCCACTGTATGTGAGGTATGTGCCCCTTTCCAGACGTTGCAGTCGCCCACCGTTGGTGATACGCACAGACAGGACCTCAGCATGCTCCAGTCCCGGTGTGGAGGAATACCGCACGGGTTGATTTTTTCACATGACCAGGAAGGTTCCGTTGCTCGCCTGCCATCTTTCCACAGCAATCTTGTTTTGTGTTTCCCAGGAAGCTGTAGAATGTCCTTAAGCACTGGCTTTGCATCCAATAAATTTGTGCCCATGGTCTGACCTAGATTTTCTTTGATGCCCTCTTATTAGCAACACACCTTTGATACGCAAGAAGAAACCTTCTGTTGAATCAAGTGAGTTGGCCAAGCTTTCCCACATGGGATTGCTCGAATCCACATGCAGCAAAAGACTACGGCCCCAGACTTTCATGATACCCTCTTGACTTCATCTTGACTTCATCTTTTGCAAAAAACCTCCTGATAAGATTGTCCTACGCCCCAATAGCATACCCTACTTCTTACATCATCTTGAACACTATAACCCAAATTCAACGGCACACAAACTCAAATGACACGGATACCCTCTCCAGTGGCAAGTCGCTCATTACTGTTTGCAGTCTTGGCCCTACGTAACGACTTGATGCATTTATCAACAAACTTTCTACAATGATTCGCCTCGACGACCCCATGCTTTTCGCCTCATACGACCTGGTACCTTCGACTGCCACATCGCTTCCATTATGTGCCTCTCGTGCTAGAGAGTAAATCCAAGCTTGAAATGTAAAGACCCACTACAGTCTTCCTTGCAGCTCTGATGCTCCTTCCACACAAAAAAGTCCACTATTCGTCCCTTCGACAACGATCGTTTGTTTGTCGTGTCAGAAAGCACAAGCACACCCGTCTGTCTGCAACACAGAGTCTCTGAATCATCTTCCCTTTTCATACAGAGATCACTTGACTGCTAGCCTCCCACTTTTCATTTCCCTGTGTCCTTAAAGAACCTCTGCAAGATTCTTTCTTGCTTGGGCCGCAACATCTCTTGCTGACTTGATGGGCCATTCCTCCTGTGGGAGACTAAGGAACAGAGGGCCTGTTTGCCATTCAGAGGCTTCTGTGAGGTCTTTGGGGCTGGCACCTCTTGTAATTATGTCTGCCACATTTGAACGTCCCAGGGACCCACCACCAGTCATTGACATTGGTGCTACTTTGGATCTCCCCGACACGATTTGCAAAGAAGGTCTTGTACCCATAACTTTCGCGTTGTATTGCCCCCAAGACTGTTTGGCTGTCGACAAAGTGGTACTATTGCCCTACCTCAATACGGCAGTGCCTTTGGAAGTAGTTCTTGAGACGGGCTGCAAAGACTGCTCCGCACATTTCTGCCTTCACAGGATCTCCTTTATGATCAAGAGGGGTCAGTTTGGCTTTGGCCTCAACGAGTCTCAAGATTACCCCTTGGGGACAGTTCCAGCGTAGATACAGAACAGCACCGTATGCATGATCACTGCCATCAGAAAACGTGATGCCAATTGGCTTCAAACAGTGATTAGCTGGAGTCAGGGGTCTTGGGAAGTGAATGTGGCTTAACTCTGAGTATTCCTCTAGGAGTTTAACTGCCTGTTCCCTGAGGTCGTTTGACAAGGGGGCATCCCATGTGTTCTCTGAGCAGTACCTCACTTTTGCCTCTTGGAAAGCCTTACGGACCAGTATGGCACCCTTTTGCTTTGCTGGGGCCACTAAACCAAGGGGGTCGTACAAACCAGCAACTTGACTGAGAAGTTCTCTCCTAGTAAGTGGATCTGGTGTTTGACTCTTCACCTCTTCTTTGTTTAGATCTTGTCCAAGTCTCATTTTCTTCTTTTTCTTAGAGAAGTTTACTGCTACCATGACATGGAGCTTGTCCTCATCAACTATGTACCCAAGTCCAAGGGCTTTGTTTTCACCTTCGGTGAGTTGATTTGGTAGATTTACGATTGGCCCAATGTTCATGCTATTGGACTTAACACTCCCACCTTCCCCTGAGAAGACCCACGGTTTCATGTGAAATCCACCAGCTCTCAAGATTTCTTCAACATTGGATGTGAGGGTTCTCAACTCAGCAAGGTCATTATGAGAGGTCAAAATATCATCGACATAAGCATCCTCTTCCACCACTCGTCTCTCTGCTTGAAAGTGACTGAATTGTGGCAGATTGGTGGTTTCGCGCATGGCGACTTGGGCTATGCATCCAGCTGGTTTGTCTCCCATGTTTACTCGGGTTACGGCATAGTCCTCGATTGCACAATCTTCAGAATCCCGCCACAAGAACCTGTGCAGGTGCACCTCTTGATCCTCTAACCAGACGGAATTGTACATTTTCCGAATGTCACCCAATGCGGCATAAGTTCCAGCTCTGAACCTTAACAGTACTGCTCGAATGGGATTTAAAACATCGGGACCCTTGACCAGCATGTCATTTAAACTGAGGCCTTTGTACTTCTGGCTACTATTCCAGACCAATCTTGCAGGCGTAGAGACAGAGTGGGGGTTGGGTGCAATAAGGTGACTTATGTACCACACTGGTCCTGTCCAACTTTCCAGTACCCCCTCTGATAACTTTATTGCAGCTTTGCGTTCGACCATTTCATGGACTTGCTCTGCATAGGCCGCTTTCCATTTGGGCTCTTTAGACAGCTGTTTCTCAGTCCTTATGAATGTTGCTTTAACCACCTTTTTGTTGTTCGGCATAGTCATTGGATCCTCCTTCCACGGGTACCTTGAGTGCCAGTGTGGCTCACTGCTGTGGTCATCTCCCTCAGCAACATATGTTAGACCATTCTTTATTATTTCCAGCTCCTTTTCTTCGGCGAGCGTGATTTCCCTTCCACCGGGCTGGCAGTTTCCACAGCGACACCCTCCGCACTTGTGTTCACAAGCGGCTCCAATACTGTCCCATTTCCACCATTTAAGAAACTCTTTGTTTGACACAGTAGAATGAGTATGAGAAAACTGGGAAGGGTTTGAGCCAGACAGTTCACTGTAGTTAACAGCAGCAGTTCTCATTGACCTGGCGAAGTGCGTTCTCGACCTGTGGGCAGTGATAGTAGCTTCCTCGAAAAGATCAGGATGTGAGCCACCAACTGTTCTACCAAGAGGGCCATCCCAAAGCACTAGGTCACCCACTGAGCGGACTTTTTGGGGTACTAATTGACCTTCCTTGTGACTTATTAGGAGATGGATTTCCTTGGGTCTGGTGAGATTTGAGAGGGGAATGTCTGGGAATATTTGTTGAAGCTTTTTTGCCGATACATGTCTGTGGATCTCTGCGATTTTGTCCAGTCCATAGCATACGAGTTGGTGTGATTTTAGAGTGCCTTTCTTTGTGTTCACTCTGATCTTCAGAAGATAACGTTTGGTTTGTACGGTAACTTCCATACCTCCAACTCCGTGAACTATTAATCTGACGTCTTCGCTTCTCAAATTTAGGTCTTTAGCAGCCTTGTGTGTAATATAATTGGTGTCTGATACAAGGTCAATTAATGCCCCAATTGTCTGGCCGGCGTTAGCGGTAACATTTAGCACCATCATTATAACTGGATACTCTTGTACTCCATATTCTGCCAATAGTCCACTCCTCACAGTCTTAGATGTGCTGAGGGTCCTGGATGCAACATTGCAGAATGCTTCACGGCATTGTTGGGCGAGATCTGGTGGCAGTTTGGAAAGGAAGTCCTCTTGAGTTTCAGTGCACGGTTTGCTTTCTGTCCTTTTTGTGATTATTTTTGATCCAACTGTTGGGCACAGAAGATAATGTTGCGGGGATCAGTGTAGTGCGCACCCGTCGGGAGCGCGCATTGAGGGAGCGTGCGCGTCATTGTAGCTCACTGCGCGCACGGGTTCAGGTGCTTCTATTTACCTAATTAGAGCGTGCGCTCAGAAAAAACTCTTATCACATCGTCGCACCAAGAAAGTGTAGAACAAAGCCCGTAAAAACAGCCATATAGGACAAGATTCGACCCATACGGACCACTGGTTTTCACCTGCTGTTTGTTAATAAACTGAGTGAAACCGGCCTAAGGTGGTGTCAGAGTCCTTCCTTGTCAAGTGGGGAAAGCTGTATGGTTCGGGGTGCACTTGACAGTGAAAACCAGTCCCAAGTTGCTGGACACAAGCTGGACACAAATGGCGGACCACAGACCAATAGAGGAGCTAAGGACTGACAGGAAAACTGCCAAAAGACTCTTTACTCGTATGGTCAATCATATCAGACGTGAATTTGTGGACATGTCCGCTGATGAACTCAAAGAGAGCTTCAAAAAGCTCACTCTACAAGGCTCAAAGGTCATGGAAGCCAATGAAGAACTCCAAGCGGCTTATAACGCAGAGGGCGCACAAGAGCTTGCAGAAGAGGAAAAGGCTGACATAGAAAAGACGGAGCAGGAGTACGAGCAGAAGTCAAATGAGGTTAGAAACTTAATAAAAGATAGACTCTGGACAGAATTTGGAGAACGTGAAATGTTAATCACATTTCAATCAGCAGAACAGGAATGTGAACAACTTATATCTGCTCCAAAAGACATGAGTGTAGACTCATATGAACACTTACTAAAGCACCTAGAAGCTCTTATCAAGGCAGCCAAAGACGCCCACCTACAGTGGATTCGGTGGGGCCCTGCAACCGAGCAAGTCAACTTCAGAAACAGACTGAGAGAACTTGAATTGACTCTGCCACGGCTGATCTCAAAGAAAGTTCTGTTTATCGACGCAGCCGGCCATAGAGCGAGTGGAGAATACAGACCACAGTCGTCCAATAACACTGTCCCAGCTGCCACAATAAAACTAAAAGCCACTCCCCTCCCAAAGTTCTTCGGAATCAAACGAGACTTTTATCGATGGAGGAAGGAATGGGACGCTCTTCAGACTCAAGGAGAACCCTCTGGATCAAAGGAAGTAATGGAAGACTACTAGACTAGGTAATGCAGTCATAACAAACACATGGAAGACTTTGGTCCACATGTCCATAGATGTAATGAATGTGCATAACTGTCCCGGATCATCACCTTAGACCCTCCTGCATCTGCAAGGAACAACTCGCCATATTGAGAGAGGGAGAGAGTGTGTAGATCCAGGACTCTCAGAACGACGACTGAATAGGCTCCCAGACAACGCACTGGACAAACAACTATTGCACCCATTCGAGAAAAATAAGTACAATGCAACACGAGTTCAAGTTGCAAAACAAAATCATTTAAAAACAATTAGAACTTTGTCATGCTCAATTAGTTATGATTGACAGACAATGCCAAATTGTATTGACATTGGATACATTTTAGTGTAAGTCACATTTCCCCCCATTTACAGCACTAAGTATACTTCCTTCCACAGAACTGCAAACCAAACTCTCCCAAAACCTTGTTCAAACATGGTGCACATGAACATTCATATACACACTGCACAGCAAAACCTACTCTCTCTTATGTTTTCGTGTAAAACGGTGAAAAATGTTGTATTCAAAATGTATGTCTTGAGCATGGTGTATGTGACATAAACTTTCCTTCCAAGCAGCGTCATTTCAAGATGTATGTATATTTTGTTTTTTGACAATCTCAAGACAAAATCACTATTTTCAGTATAATTACAGTACATTTGTCGTGTGTTAGTGGTGGAAAAAGTGTGGGACACATGAGTTGCATTGTGTTCAATATTTGCTTCATGTGTGTAATAACGGGCAAAAGACTGTATATAAGGAGTGAACAGAGCGATTGCTGCAGTCACGTAGTTTTTGCCGATTGCGGAACAAGCCGATTTGAACATAAGCGAGCAGGACATTTTCCTTATTATTTTCCGCATTTGTTCTGATGGGGTTAGCTTTGCACCATAACATGGGTAGAGAGGAGCCAGAAGGTATTGGAGAAAAACTTTAACCATGGGCTTACCAATTGGGCTTCTTTGAGCAAGAGAGTTAGCATTTTCCATCTAAACACAGTCTAGGATTCTATGTGGATATATAGATAGATACTTTATTGATCCCCCAAAGGAGAAATTCAGGTGTCCAGTATTAGCAAAAATAAAAAATAAAATTGATCATTCTAAAAAAAAAGATTACAATAGTAATAATCAGCCACAGCCCTTCAGGTCACAGCAGCAGAGATGGAGTAGCCTCTCGGTGGAGCAGGATGGGTCAGAGCAGCAGAAATGGAGCAGCCACTGGGTGGATCAGGACGGGTCGCAGCATCACAGATTGAGTAGCCTCTGGGTGGAGCAGGACGGGTCTAAAGATGGAGTAGCCGCTTGGTTTGGACCATTTTCTCTGCTCTAGTCCAAAGTAAAATGCTAAATGCTTCATTAGCATTTTTCAAAAAGTTGCCATTCCTCCAGTGGATTTTCACCTGATCCGCTCCGGTCTGGACCAGTGCAAAACTTTGCATACTGTACTGAAGCAACATCTCAGGCAGAAAAAGCAATACAAATAAAAATTGTAAAGCACAAAACAACAACTGTTAATCAGAGCTACTAAGGACTTGCAGCCGTTACCCAGCGCATCTTTCAAAAAAAAAACTAAAATGTGATGGACATATGGGTCTTAAGAGCTGGAGTGTGTTCATGTCTTTAGAGGGCAGTGTAAAAGTAGGGCAAAAATGTGCAATTAAAAGCCAGTTTTCACTGGACTTCCAATAATAATTATATAATTATTTTATTCTATAGTCTATTATTAAGACTCATTAATCATGTGCACTGCAAAAGGCAAATGCATCAATGTCTCACAAAAAAGAAAGGTAGAGTTTTGGCGGATGTGTGTAACGCAGGAATTTCTTTCAATGTTTTCATAAGAGTTCTTCTCTTTAATAATGTCTTCAAGCCGCTATATACATCTGGATTGATGCTTTCATAGTCAATTTGATAATTTTTTACAACAATTATGGTTTTCACAAAATGCTGAGATTGGAACTTTACCTTCGCCATCCACTTACATTAAACTGAAGCAGAATGACCAAATGTTTAGCTCATGAATAAACATGCACTGAGGTCCCAAAGCTGCCCATTAGTTAACCATCTCTACATTATTAAACTCAATAAAGAGCAGGAGGTAGTTACCTGTGACACGAGGGATCTTATGAAATGGTGAGGTGAAGATGAAATATGACTCATTTAGATCTGAGAGGAGCCCTATGCTTCGATTAACCCACACAAAGGAAAAGAAATGGCTTTGGGGACGTGTGCAAAGGGCATGGGGAAATTGAGTGCAATTAAACACACATGAAGCCAATGAGACCACTACACCAACAAAGAGGAAAAATGTAAGTCACGGTTAAGTAATTTTATCATCATCATGTGTTGTTTTCTAATGCAGCAGACACCCACATCTAACTAAGTGTTATTATGTTCGATAAAATTAACTAGGCTCTAGAGCATGTGGCCTCGGTTATCGGCCACAGCTGTCAGTTAAATTCCAGTCATTTATTCCTTCACAACAATTGGAAGAAATTTGGGACTTTTTTTTGTTTAAGACGATCGAGGATCACTACTCTAACTCTAATTGTGTTGAAAACCAAAGCCTAATAATTTAAATTGAGTATGAAATCTGCACATTCATTCCAAACAGAAGAATGGTAATAATTTACTTGGAGACATAATAGATGTCATGAGTCCACCCTGATAATGACACACAATACAAGTGGACGCCTCTTATCACAGACAGAAGCAGATAGACTCAGCTTTCCCACACTGCTTTGTTACAGACATAAATCATATCTCCATAAGAAAAAATATATCAGCATTTTTAATATTGCCATGGTGACATTTAATCTACACAATACAATAGTCCTCTTCAGTCTGGCCTCTTTGACACCAGCCATAAACCTGAGTGCTGCTATAGTCACACGCAGACAGCAGCAGGATGTGACCTGAGCTTTAGAATCACAAATGGATTCTCAAAACCCCTCAAAACAAATATGACACAATTGAAGATGTGTCAATATCACATTTATAAAGAGATGATGGAACGATAAAACGGAGCCTTACATTCTGCTGCTGCAGAGGCAGGATACACAACTAGAAATGTGCTCCAAATATTGAGAAATTTTCTCAGTTGCACATACTCCAATGAAAAGCCTAGTTTTTAAGCATACACACATTGTATTGATGTCAGTGTATAATTTTTTTAGCATCATTGACAAGGAAGCCTTCCTCTGATGTTGACTCTGCCCAGCTCAGTCAGGACAGAGCTGGAGAATTTCATCTATGTTTTTGGTGGTGGAGAAAACCAGAGTGCCCCGAGGAGATCCCACCCAGACATGGGGAGAAACATGCAAACTCCACACAGAAAGTCCCGAGCCGACACAAGAATCAAACCCACAACCTTCTTGCTGTGAGACACAAGCACTTCTACTCTGTGCCGACTTTATGGTTCAATCCTGAGGCTGTATTTCATCATGACTTTACAAACCCTCATTAAAGCCCCTTCAAAAAGGACATCATTAGTGCTTTAAACACTGCTCCTGCACCAACCTGTTGTAATTATGTCTGTCTCCATCGTCATGTGCACTTTCACCACTGATGAAAGATTACCTCTGTTTACATCACACCAATCAGTGCATACTGCCCTATAGCATTGTGTGCATATTAATATCTATGCCACTTAGACTGAAATAATGATGTCCCTCAAAATAACGCATGTGAAAGTGTTCTGTTGGGCTGGGACAGAACCATTATGAATGCAAGCATATGTCATACAGCATTTCTTTCAGTTTGTTGGATGGTGAATTGAGTACAAAAGCTCAATTGTTATTGGAAGTTATAATATTGCAAATAAAATAACAACAGTGAAGAGGATTAACGGCAGCGTCAAAGCCAAATGTGCATGTCGAAAGAATGTTACCACCGCAGCATTTTCAAAGTGATAAATCTCTGCCTCACGTGTTTCCTTTGTTTGTTGCCATGTCCCCAGTGTCATTTATTATAATGTGGACCAGAGGAAAGACATGCAGTTATTCTGATTGAAGGACCGCGAGTGTGACTTTAAACACATGGACTGGCAGGTTAATGGTGTGGTCATTACACGCAATGACTGCATCAATCTTAGTTTTCAGCTCATTTTAGTTATTGATAGGTTATTTACTACTGCTACTCTTAGATTCTAACTAAACAGTCCTGTAGGCGAAACAGCAAACATTTGTACACGTTAGAATAGGCTACGCAATGGTGAAATGTCTGCTATATAATATTGATTTAAGGAAAGATTTGTTATGTTGGTCACCTCCCATGAATCCAAATGACCCTGTTCTCATTTTGTCATTCCAACACAATACCAGGACATAGAAAAAAGGAGCTTGGTTATCCATGGTAAGTGCAGGCAGAATGGGCTTCCTCAGCAGATGGACACAAATTGGATGTGCCACTTGAATTTGTTGTCAGGATCGGAAATGAGGCACAATGGAGCCCTTTGGGTGACTTTGAATGGAATGACAAGCACATTTTGGTGATGTTTCTGTTTAAAATTGGACTTTATAAAATGAAACGCTGAAATACATTGACATTATGAAATATACAATTAAATGAATGCACATTTTTACACAATTAGATATAGATTACAATTATTATTAAATTAATGTATCAAAGGCACATTTCTATTATTAGTTTCATTAATACCATCACTTCCCCACTATAGCCATTATCATCACAATCATAGTATCAGGACTCTCGCTTCTCAGAGAGTTTGAATGTCAGGTAAACTACTAAAGACGTGTGTGTCCTGCAGCTCTGTTAGTCCTGACCAAGCTGCGCATCAAATTTGGAGATTGGTCCCAGGGCGCTGCACTACGGCGACAACTGTTCCTG